CCCCAAAACCCCAAAACCCCAAAACCCCAAAACCCCAAAACCCCAAATCCTTTACAGGTATTGAATCACACAAATCCCTGATTCCCTTACCCCACCCATCCACCCCAAAACCCCTTACCTCATCTCTGCTCCACCTTAACAACATCCACAGGAAACTTCTCAGAATTCCGCGAACTGATCTGAAACCAGGCGCAACAGAGGAAAAGGCAGAAGAGGGTTTTAAGAAAGAGGAAACGCTAAGAGAAGGTTTAGGGGATGAGTGCAGGCGGGTTAGAGGAACGTTACCATCTATAAACTAGAACATAAGATCTGGCTAGTTCTTTAAGTTCTAACTAAAACATCTTCTATTTCGATCAGATATTGTTACAGGGGAATTTACAACAATTAAGAACAACATTTCTGGCAACAGCTGGTCTTTTAGATCTTGCAGAGATGCTTCTGATGCATTCCTTTAGTTCTTTTTAGTAAAATTCTTCTGAACTGGTCTTGAATTCCAATGCAGGGAACTGTTCAAACGGCTGCACCATTCTTGCATGGGATCGACTGGATTGAAGGTAACAAATGGGAGAGAGCATAGACTACCCTGGATATCTATCTTTTCACCCTTTTTCAATGAGAATGAGTGGTCTCCATCTATGCTCACGCTGTAGTATTCTGCTCTTGAGTTTTCTGAGGCTTTTAAAGTTATTACACAATCATCGGGAAGGATGAGGGGTCTGAATGACAAGGAATGAGGTCAAATTGGAGTTAGCAATACTCAGTTCACATAATTATAAACAATGCTTCCACCTGCTGACATGTTATAAGCAGTTGAGCCTGTTGAAGAAGATAGTATCACTCCATCTCCTTGAATCACAGTGAGTGGGTTTCCATTAATATAACATTCCAAATTTGTTAGATAATTAAAAGAACCTCTATCAACAATAATTTGGTTTAAAGCATATAGACTGCCAAACTTCGGCTTCTTGGTCTTTCCAGGAGTAATAGTTGACATTACATCAGGGTCCAAATCATCAAAAAGAACCTTCAGAACTACTCTATCTTTCTTCTCCACATATGGGATTCCATATTTAATATCCTCTTCAAATTCAGTAAACTTTTCATAATCATCTCTATCTTCAGCTATCTTAATGAGGGAGTGGTAAAGAACTTCTTCATACTCAGAGCCTTCAAATCATCACAAGTAGCCAATAGACTCTTGTCCAAATGTTATCATCTTAGGACATTTGTCCTTGACAAACAGCTTAATGGCTTGGACAACTGTTCCGTCTCCTCCCAGTGTAATGATTCTGTTAATCGAGTTTTGATTTTCTTCTGAAAAGATATCAATAGAGTCAATATCAATTTTAATCGTGTCTGAGTGAGTACTACTTTGATCATCATCTGGCTCTTCAGCCTCAACCATAGAATCTTTTAATAACTGCATTACTGCTTCAGTAACATATCAGGATATCGAGAATCTCTGTAAAAATTCAATAACTCTCTTAATATAAGGGTCTAGCTCTTTCTTGCTTGGCTTCATAAAGATAAACACTTTCAGATCTTTTATTGCAATTCCTCTTAGAGGAGTAAACTCTTCAAGGCCTATTTGTTGAGTAGAGGAATTTTTATCTACTGTTGAATTTGATCTTTCCATTTTAATTTAATTTATTAACTTATTTTCACGACGTATATGACGCACTGGGGTTTTGGGGTTTTGGGGTTTTGGGGTTTTGGGGTTTTGGGG